CCCCCCCCCCCAAAAAAAAATACAATATTTGATTAAAAACTCAAAAATCAATAAATTAATCAATAAATCACAAAACATATATAGGTTGGGCAACATTTCGTATAGTGAATTCGAGAGAGGTAGCTTTCAGCTTTGAACCTATCCTTAGTGAGTTCATCGTAACCTGAGGGACATAATGGATTAGGTCTTGAATTAGGCCCTTGTACCAGGTATTGACGAAAATACACATAATATGTCTTCATCTATTGAGCAAAACGGGTTTAGCGTTAAAGGTCATGCTCATAATAACTGACTCATGAGAGTTTTTAGGGGTTAGCCCAGCCCTCCCAATCACGACCATCACGGTTCCTCTCATGTAGGTAAGTCCTCCAAGGATTTATAGCTGAATATTATACTCTTCGTAATACACACGTTGGACTTATTAAGAGTAAAACTCAGTCTAACCAGCCGTATCATAATAGCATCATCACCATAGAGAAGGGGAAGTAGTAGATGCTACCATAATGATATATGAATATATCTAGGTCGATGCTCCACACAAGTGTCACTAGTCTAGCTTGTTTCTACCACATGAACCTACATTAGGATTGTGTCTCCAAATAAAGGTTGGGCTCCCGCTGTCAGTAACCTCACTTATGGGCTTAACCCCATCTCCCTCGATGAATCCAGAACCACACTCCTGGATAAACCCTTAGTCAAAGGCTCAGCAAGATTCTTTTCAGACTTTACAAAGTCTAAAATCATAACTTTGTCTAGCATGCGTTGTACATATTTATATCTTATTTGAATGTTTGTTAAGTTTTTTATTTACATGCACTTGCTTTAGAAGCTCTATGGTGGATCTATAATCAGAATGAATAAAAATTGGAGGAGAGGGTTTAGGGACCAAAGAAAGTTCAGAGAGTATATCTTTTAACCATTCTGCTTCTGTGCAAGTGGTATTAAGAGCAATCAATTCAGACTTCATGGTGTTCCTGACAATTACTGTTTGCTTATAGGATTTCCAGGATACAGCTGCACCACAAAAAAGGAATACATATCTAGATATAAACTTTACACTGTTAGAATCCGTGACCCAGTTGGCGTTACTATACTTTTCTATAGCATCAGGGTACCCAGTGTAAGTCAAACAATAGTCAATTGTGCCTTTTAAGTATTTAAATACTTTCTCTAAGACAATCCAGTGATCTTTGCTGGGATTGCTGGTATAGCGGCTCAGTCTTCCTACAACATAAGCTATATTAGGTCTAGTCCGGTTGGATATGTATAGCAGAGATCCAATCAACTGACAAATGACAATATTTCAACTAGGAGACATGTTCACCTTCATTCTTCACCAAAGATACATAAGAGTCATAAGGTGTAGAGATAGGTTTAGATTCATGAAAATTAAATTTGATCAGTATTTTCTCAATACTATGAGAAAGACTCAAGGATATCCCTCTAGTGTTTCTAGTAATTTTTATTCCAAGTATCATATCGGCAAGACCTAAGTCTTTCATGTCAAAGTCATTGGAGAGATAATCCTTAACTTTTAAGATTAATTCAAGAGTTGTTCCAAAGACAAGGATATCATCGACATAGAGACAGAGGATAACATAGTCGTTGTTTATCACTTTAGAATAGACATATTTATCGTGTTCATTCACAGTGAAGCCATATTGTGCAATGACTTTCTCAAATTTCTGGTGCCATTGTTTAGGAGCTTGTTTAAGACCATATAAAGATTTAACAAGTTTGCAGATTTTATTTTTCTGACCTTTGGTAATGAAGCCTTCAAGTTAGTTCATATAGATTTTTTTATCTAAATCACCATTCAGGAAAGCAGTCTTGACATCCATCTGATGTATGATCAGCTTATTAATAGCAGCAAAGGCTAATAATACTCGGATAGTTGAGATTCGGGCTACAGGAGAATATGTATCAAAGTAATCGATGCTCTTTTGCTGAGTATAGCCTTTAGCTACTAATCTAGCTTTATATTTATCAATAGAACCATTAGCTCTAAGTTTCTTCTTGAATATCCATTTACAACCAACAAGTTTACAATATGGAGGTAAGTTAGTGAGTATCCAAGTATGGTTTTCCATGATAGATTTTATTTCATTATCAATGTCTTCTTTCTAGAAAGAAGATTCAGATGAATCCATTGCTTCCTTAAAAGAGTTTGGATCACCTTCAACAAGAAAGATAAATAAGTATTCTCCAAAATCCTTTTGAATTCTATCTCTTTTACTTCTTCGAGGTTCAATACTTCAATATCAAAAGGCTGAGAAGAACTAGAAGATGGTTGATCAGAAGGAAGAGATGATCTTGGATTTTCTGAGATTTTGGGTTTGAAAGGAAATATGTTTTCAAAGTAGACTGCATTTCTAGCTTCAATGATAGTGTTATTGGATATGTCACTGATTTCAGAGTTAATGACTAGAAATCTGTTAACATTGCTATCTAGTGCATATCCAATAAAAATTACATCAACAGCCTTAGAACCAATTTTCCTCTTCTTAGGTTCGGAAATAGCTAGCTTAGCTAAGCAACCCCAAACCCGGAAGAAGTTTAACTTAGGAGTTCTCCCCTTTCAATATTCATAAGGAGTTATATCAGAAGATTTATGGGGAATCCTATTGAGAATGAAGCAGACAGAAAGATGAGCTTCACCGCAGAGATTTTCAGATGCTCTTGAACTGAGTAACATACAGTTCACCATGTCCATATGGGTTTTGTTCTTTCGTTCAGCTATCCTGTTAGACTGTGGTGTATAGGGAGTAGTTACCTCATGAATAATACCGTATTTTTGGTAATATTCAGTCATTTTATTTGAGGTATACTCCCCCCCTCCCACACGATCAAATCTTAAAATCTTGATCTTCCTATCAAATTGGTTCTCAGATTCAGTTTTATACACCTTAAACCTATCTAAAACTACAACTTAGTTTTGAGTAGATAGGTGTAATAATATCCGGAGTAATCATCTATAAATGTCACAAAATATCTCCCACCCCCTCGGATGAGAACTCGATTCGAGTCACACACATCACTATGAATTAATTCGAGGGGTTTGGAGTTTCTAGTTATAGACTTGAAGATTTTTTTAGTATGTTTTCCTTGAACACAAATCTCACAAGACGAGGGATCATGAAATGATTTAGGAATGAGATTCAACTTAGTCATTCCTTGCAAAGTTTGAAAATTTACATGTCCAAATCGTCCATGCCAAATATCACAAGATGCAACAATTTGTGCAACAGAAGACTCATGAATTTTATTAGAACTAGAATTAATTACATTAAGCTTGAAAAGACCATTACAGATAAAACATTTTCCTATAAATACATTATTCTTTGTAATCACAAATTTATTGGATTCCTTTACAATCCTAAAACCAGCTCTAAGCTATAAATACATTATTCTTTGTAATCACAAATTTATTGGATTCCTTTACAATCCTAAAACCAGCTCTAAGAAGAAGAGATTCACTGATCAAGTTTCACAAATTTATTGGATTCCTTTACAATCCTAAAACCAGCTCTAAGAAGAAGAGATTCACTGATCAAGTTGCGACGGAGAGAAGGAACATGATGGACGACTTGCAGATTCAGAGCTTTTCCAAAAGTCATGGTGAGCTCTATGCATTCACTTCTCATTATTTGTTTGGTGGAGTCATCTGCTAAGCTTATACTTCCTCCACGTGATTCCTGATAGGTTAAAAATCAAGAGCGATCATTACAAACGTGAATATTAGCTCTGATATCCAAATACCAATCAGTGTAACTGTGTAAGAAGTAAGAGAATTTACAAGATAAGATGAAGAGCCTAACCTGAAGGAATTCAGATTTTCTTCAATTATATTTACTTTATTAGATCCATTTCCTTTTGGAGCAGGTTTGACCAGTTTTTTTTTCCGATAGAAGCAGTTGGGACTTGGGAGTCAGGTGCCAGGTGGCTGGTTTTACCACAGACATAGCAGAACTTTCCATTAGACTTATGGCTGGAATGATTAGGATTGGATTTGGATTTGTTGAAGGATTGTTGGTTTTTCTTGAATTTCTTCCCTTTGAGTTTGAAATTTTTAGATTTAGGCTTATCCTCTACTAAGTTCACTTTAGCTTTCATATCAGACTTGGGTTTAGAATTTTGTTTATGCTGATCTTCAATACGAATAGCATTGAGGGCTTCAGTTAAAGTTAGATCTTCTTGCTTATGTTGGAGATCTCTAGCAAATCTAGACCAGGAGGGAGGGGGTTTGTCAATCAGACAGAAAACTTTAAAGTCATCAGTAAAGGAGTTTTCCTTTGATTGAAGGTGACGAAGAAAATCTTAGAATTCATAAATTTATTCATTTATGGGTTTGTCATCAACCATCATGAATTTATTGAAGGAAGAGGAGGTGAAACGCGGAATTCCGGTATTATCATAGCCATATTCTACTTCAAGAGCATTCCATAGATCTTTAGCACTTTTGAACTCATAATATATGTCATAAAGGTTGTCTGCAAGTGCACTAAGAATCCTATGATAACAGTGGTAGTTAATTTCTTCTGACTTCATAGAACTAGAGAATGAGCTAGTACCAGAAGCAGAAGTGAAAGGAGTAGGTTCAGGTTGAGGACCATAAACTGGAGATCCGGTGGATGAGGACTCGGGAGTGTCAATGGCAGATAGAAGACCTAGGGTAGTGAGTCAGTATCCCATCTGATTAGTCCACCGTTTATGGTTAACACCGATGAACTTTTTAGGTTTGACACTCTTGAAATGATCAGGATTAGTCATAAGTCCGATTTAAAGTTAACTAGTCTAGGTATTTTGGAATCTGATGGAATAAAAGTTTTGTCAATACCACTAGACTAGTTACTTAGGAGTATGACTTTGATCAACAAATATGAACAGTAATAATATAAATAGAACAATATAATTCTAATACAGTAACTAGCAAGAATAAATGTTTTTTTTCTGGATTAATTTAGGAACAGTAAAACAAATAATTTTATTTCGGAATACTATTTATAACAAATTAACAATTATAATTCAAGTAATGAACAATTACAGAAATTGTTTTTAATGAACAGCAACCTTAAAATTTTCTGGATGAATAGTAATGATAAAATTATTGGATGAACAGTAATTTTTATATATAAATAGTTTTTCGGATTTAAAAACGACAGCTACAAACTACTTAATCTTCTAGATTGTTAGATAAATCAAATAAAAGTTATAAGTTATAGCATGCAAAAATCCGAAATAAAAGAAATAAGAAAGTCTGGCCTGATCAGAAGCAGTCGTGTAAACACTGCCCTAGAAAATTAAGGATCCGCTTATCGCCCTGGCGCAAATAATACACTCTCCTCTAGCGGTAAAAACCGCGGAATCGGTCGGCCTCTGAACTCGGGCGAGAGTGCAAAGCTTCTACTCAGATGAAGACAGTTGCCCAATAGAAAGTATAATGTAACAGGGAGAATTTTAAAAAGGAAGAATTTTCTGAAGGCAGAAGAGAGAGGAGGAGAAGAGCTTTTGTTTTCTTTTCCGATTCTATGTGTTTTCCGAACTGGGAAGAGGTTGTTTATATAGGGTTCAGAGAGCCGTTACGAATCTGCACGTTATGCAAAATCGAGGATCCGTTACCCCAAAACGCGCCCGTTACGAACGTTCCGTAGCCGTTACACACGTTTTAATTGCCGAGAAAAAACATGTAAAACGTGGTAAAAATAAAGTTTGACAAAGCAAAAAAATGCGTGGGGTGCGGCGTGGGGTGCGCACGCGCGTTATGTAAAGCCCAAACAATACAAAGCCCAAAACACCCCCTTCTTAGGGATCCTCAAAGTCCAACAAGAGGTGAAGCAATTTAAACCCCTTACTATTTATAACACTAGTCCATGTGGGACTATTCATAGGAGGCAAAATTGTCTTTTCTCCCACAACATAGCCAACAACAATATCTTTTGTAGACAATACAATGTTATTTTTTTATCATTGGAACAGATATACAAATAGAAACAAATACCTAAATGTGACTGTGTTCTACATAAACTATCTTAATAGAGTTAAGGGTGAATAATAGCATGAAAACTGGAAAGGTATGTATAAAAGTTCTGTTTTAAAGAGAGATATGGTATGAATGATAGAAATATGTTGCTGCAACCAATGTAGACTACAGGTGGATGAAACTATGTTTCTTTCTTCTTTGAGGTTGACATATTTGAAGCCCAATGCGAAATATCTTAATACTTGTAGTTTCTCTCAAGTTGTTGAAATTGAGTTAATGATATTGTTTATTGGTTAACTATCTTAGAAATGCAAAAGTGGGTAAATTGTTATTCGTCCATAAGTCCATTAATTTGCTTGAGTATCCTTTCTAAGTGAATGATTTAGAAGCAAAGAGGATATGACTTAAATAGAAATTGAGTGTTTTCGTATGGCATTTATTTGGGGGGAGAGTGACATCTCTCTTGGATTTGGCCATGAGAAGTATTTCATGTATTTCTTGGTGAAACTCAAGCTTGATAGAACCTAATAGGATTACGTGTATATAAACGTTTGCACAGTTTAAACATCGAAAAATAAAGATTTTTTTGGTATATATCATTAGTGTAACTAAGCCTAAAAGGCTAAAACCTTCTGGTCAAGTAATTGCAAACTCATCTATATGAAACACATTCTAGATGAAAGGGATGATAATGAGTAACTTCATGGAGGAGATAGACCTCGATAGGACTGAATGGAAGAATAGGACTCATGTAGCCGAGCCCAAAAATTTCGGATAAGGACTTTGTTGTTGTTATGAAAGACATTCTAGGTAAACTTTCTGCTAAAAAAGAATCGGTCTTGTCTTTCAGTTGAGGAGATCATTTATCTCTGTTCATTTTACTCGCACTTTTTATCGTGTGCGTGTGTGTATATATATAAAATCAAATAAGTTCTGTGTTGATTTATTACTTGAAAATTAGTCTTGCTTTGAATCAGATTTGTAGAATTAACACTTTTTTTTTTCATTTCTTGCCTGGTGCTTTTGGAGTCTTATGTGATCATATAATCTCATTTCTTACAATTTTAACATCCCTATAATGTGTCCTAATACAGGTTTTCAAGGCATATGGCTACCTTCTACCTGCCATCATAGGATCCATGCTTCTTGCCACAGGTCCAAAGGCTTTCCTTATGGCTTTGGCTTTGCCTCTTGGACAATCAGCAATTTCTCTAGCAATCGAAAAGCTATGGGGAGGCGTATCTGAAGAGCCAAGGGCTAAGCCTAAGACAAAGAGGAAACCCTTCACCAAGTCTTCTACCAATTTCAGAAATCAAGAAAAAGAACAAAGGAAAAATGGAGACAAAGGAGGAAGAAATGGCTATCAATCATGGGTTTCTGCAGATTCTGGAGTCGAAGACGGTGTGAGAAACTCTACAAGGTCGAGTTTTGGAGGATGGGATGAGTTAGATAATGAAAAGGGCCCGATGAGAAGAGAGCCAAGGACAACTGCTGACAATGTGAACAGAGGGAAATTGTCGAAGAGGAGGAGGTACAAGGATGCACCGTTGTTTCTGAGACTGTTGATTGCAGTTTTTCCATTCTTGGGGTCATGGACTAGGATACTATAGTAACAATGGGCGGTTGGCCTTGTTGAGTATACGATGGATGATATTCGGACGCTTGCACAAGAAACAGAAGGAAAGATGCTGTTGAAAACTTTTATGAAGCTTCGGTATTTGAATTGAGATATATTTTGGTCTGCTTGTACCCTCTTATGGCTTGCAAGACTGAGAACGGTGTTCAAGTGACGAGTGAAAATGTCGGGAGCAAGTTGAGAAGGTACACGTCTCAGGCTCGGAGAAGCTCAATTAGAGGATGCGCTTTGAAGGGAGTTGAGATCTAAATGCATGAATCATGATTCGAGGAAGAGAAAGATTGCATTAATGTTCCGGTCCTCTAATATTGATCGATCTGTCAATAAACATATCAACCTGTAACACATATAATTATGTTAACATATTTACTTCTGTAGTCAAATTAATTTGTATGATTTGCGGTGGATAGTTCACACTATTTTGATGGCAACTCTAACGTTCTATGAGTTGGGCCTTCTGTTAAATGCTTGCACATCAGTCGTACTATGTGCTGGTGAATATTATTTTCCCCTGACGTGCAAGCTTTCCCCCCTAATGATTAAATAAAAGAGATTTTTTTAAAAAAGACCCTTTTTAAAACTTTATTAGCAAAATCGCCTTATTTTTTATATAATTAGCAAAATCAACTTTTTTTACCAACTAGCCAAAAATAAGTCGAATTTGCAAAAATGAAGCTTTAAAATACATGACACTACTAGTCCCGTGTATTTTGTGGTGCCTAATTACACCTTAATGAAATTTAATTAGTCTTGCGTATTTTTTTTAAGTTTAATTAGCATGTGATTAGCCAACACTGATTATACGGGACTACTAGTCCCGTGTATTTTAAAAAATTATATTTTGCAAAATCGACAAAAGAGATTGATTTTGCTAATTAAATCCACAAAGGGTCGATTTTGCCAATAAAATTTTCAAAAATTGGTTTTTTTTTTAAATCCTTAAATAAAGTGTGCAATCAGTGTCTAGCCTGCTCCTCCCTTCAAAAGTAGACACAGACTAAACCAAGAAAAGCAGATTGTAATTTGCAATGCCTATTCTGCTTTATAAAATGGCTAGATAGCACTTACATACCTAATAGTTACGCTACTATAGCATTTATATACCTAAAGTTGCAAATCGTGACAATTATATAACCCAGAGGATGAAGTGCCCCTCCATTTAATAAAGAGAAGGGTTTATTCACGTAAACCATCTTTAAAATAGGGTTATTATACGAAAACCACTTTTAAAGTTTAATTTAAACAATAACCACATTTAGAAGAGTTTTGAGTTGCCATCAACCACCTTGACCTATTTTTTAATGAAAATTAACTAAAATTCTCAAATATCCTTAAAAACTCACGTGCCAAATAAATAAAATGACTTCTTAACAATTCTAGTGTTTTACGGGTGCGCATTTGTTAGGGACATTTTCGAAATTTAAGTAAATATTTCATCAGAACATAGATTAAGGTGGCTGATTACAAGCTTACAAGCAGAACCCCTTCAAAAGGTGGTTTCCATTATAGATTTAATTTTGAAGATGGTTTTCGTACAATCACCCTGTTTTAAAGGCGATTTACATTGAATAACGCTAAAGAGAAAGAGGTATGTGAAGAAGTAAATATTAACCAAGTTGTGAAAATATTCCCACGTCACATGCAAAATTTAACCAAGTTATGGTATATAATTGCCATGATTTGTAACATAGGGTACATAATTGCCGGAGCAGTGTAACTATAAGGAACATAAGTGCTATTTAGCCTTTAAAAAAAGAAAATTTCCTCAAGGACCCAAAATATGTGACCAATAGGGGGGACAAGTGAGGTGTCCCCCTCCTATTAGATAATGAGTTGGCCATCATTAATGATGGCCAACTCATTATCCAATAGGAGGGGGACACCTCACTTGTCCCCCCTATTGGTCCCATATTTTGGGTCCCTATAGCAAAGCTCTTAAAAAAACCCCAGAATAGCAGTATATACATTAGTAATGCAAGCTTATAAGACTTCACAAAACCCACAAGCAGAATAACTTCACAACTGATAACATGATAATTCTCCTCCGAGAGAAATTGTTTCAATCAAATTACAATATACAATTTGAAGAAGCACTTCTTACATTGAAAGCCAATGAACAATTACATAATAAACTAATCTGAAAAAAAAAATAATACTACCAAAACTAGGCATACTTGTTCAAAAGAATGATTGGTTCCTTGCTCTAATATCATCTAGAGAACAGCTTGGCAGTACTAAGATTGCATGGAGCATCTGGATCTTTGAGACAAGTGCAGAATGCATCTTCATCCAAAGGAAATGATGCTGGAAGCGGATGATCCGGGGTTATGCCAACCTGATTCAAATTTATTAGAGACAGTCAACAGATTGCTGGCTTTTTTTTTAATTTTTTTTTTAATTTTGAGCAACATCTTTTACATAAGGGTTAATTGCAGATAGACCCCCTGTAGTATCGCCAAATTGTGGATAGGCACCTGTAGTTCTACAGAAAGACCCCTTGATTGAATTTCTTTTTTTTTAACTCTATTACCCTCAGGAGGTCAATTTCTCCCTCTGAGGGTAAATGAGTAAAAAAAAAGAACTACTCAGGGGGATTATCTACAACAATAAAACTACAGGGGGTCTATCCACAATTGATCCTTTATACTGCATGTACTTACGAGGATATAAAAGATTTTCTTACAAGAGAAGTTTTTTGGCTTGAGACCTTTTCCTAAACTAATACAGGATTGAGATTTGAAACAAGTAATAGCTCTGTACTTTGCACAATGACATAGTTTACTGTAAGCAAACTGTTTCACTTGCGTGCATAGATAATTTTGGCACTAACGGCTGCAAAGCATGAATGATGAACTCATTATATAACCGTTGAATTTCAGAATCCCCAACCACGAACCCCCACGCCGCCGCCACCCCACCCCCACCCCCACCCCAAAAAACAAACAAAAAAAAACACCCAGCCCCAAAACACACAGGGACACAAAAAGTTTGGCCCATTTTGACATAACCCCAAAAAAGCTCAGAAATGCAAGTTAACCCTTCCTCACCCCCACCAAAAAAAAAGTTAGCATTTATCCGAATCTATTGAGATACCTCCAATTTTTTTGGGTTATTTACACAAAGTTTGGGGGTTCAGTGACATTTCTGAGAACTTATTGGGGGTTATGCCAAAATAGACCAAATGTAATGGGGTTTAGTGAAATTTACCATTATATAACAAAAGAACTGACAACTGTATCCCTAAAAAGAGTGATATAACACATCCTAAACTAATTAGCATTAATGGCTCATTCAGCGAGATTGAGCAGGTTTGCTAAACTTGGAACAAAGAAACACACCTTATCAATATCGGTGTGAGCTGGGGTCTCATATCGAGCAACTGTGACAGCCAAGCCCGAGCCATCAGAAAGCTCGAAAACTGATTGTATTTTCCTGTACATGAAAAGTAAAAAGTTAAATGAAATAAATATTTAAATTTAAAATGCACATGAGAAGGCAGTTATTACCCTTTCCCAAATGTCGGCTCGCCATATACTACTGCTCTCTTATTGTCTTTGAGGGCTCCTGCTAATATCTCACTTGCGCTAGCAGTTCCTTTATTTACCTAAATACAATAACTACTGAATTAAAAAGAGGAAGTCCTCAGGAGCAAATTATTTACAGAGCTCAATCTTGCCCAGGAAAGAAACTTCACAAGCTTTCTTATAAGCAAGCAACAATATGGGAAGAAAAACAATTGTAATTTATGTCAAGAAGAAAAATCAATCCCAGTCCATTCCAAAAATGGAACTAAACACTCAAGATCCTTTTAGATACACAGAGAATCAAGAGTAACATTATAAGACCACCTACAAGAGCAAGAGAAGCGTGCAGATAAAACTTTCAGGAATAATATGAGAATAACCATTGCAAGATGATGCCAAATTGCCAATCTATCTGTTTACTACCACAACTCAAACATCCAGCCCTAAAGTTAGAAGTGCATGGCTTACGATAAGCCTTCTAAATATTCATACCCCGAAACAATTAACTAATACAATTTTTGCATCACCAACTTCATGCTATCAAATAATTGTTCTCTACTAACTTAGAACGAAATAATTATTGTCCACGATAATATTTAAACTAAAATTCCAAAAAAATAATTCCTTAATAGATATTTCCTGCATTGCACTCCCAAAATTGCATAGTTGACATCCAAGTGGATGATCCCTGCCCTTGGGCCTGATCTTTTAATCCATTTTCTAAAGCACTCGCAAAAGAAAGTTCATGAGAATTTAAGATCATTCATCTATGCATCACAAGGTTAGAAACTGAACTATTTCTTAAGAGGGAACACGCTTAGAACAATACTATGGATGACTAACAGCGTGTTTGGCAACTGGTCAAAGTGGCTTATAAGCCACTGAAACATGTTTGACAAACAGCTTATTTTGGCTTATAAGCCAAAAATAAATAAGATGGAGTAAAGGCAAATCGATGTTACATATTGGGGCGTGCTCCAAGGCCGGCTTATTTTTGTTGGCTTACAAGCCACATAGTTTCACCAAGTAAAAGACCACTTTACCCCTTGACATTTAATAAAAATTCCATAGGCCCTCTTTCTTTATCTTAAACCCCTTTTTGGTCATTTTGACAACAAGATGCATTATAATCCACCCATTTGCCAATCAATCTACCACTAGAAAAGGATTATAATCCACTATATTTACCAAACGCCTTGGATTATATCCACTTGATTTATAAGCCATTTGTGGATTATAAGCCAAGTGGATTATAAGCCAAAATTACCAAACATGCCCTAAATGATCTTCATGTAGCATGAAAGCAATACAACCAGTGCCTTTATTGAAGGATGTTAGACATAAAAAGTAACAAAGAGAAACTAGAGTTACGCAGCAACAAGGTTAGGATCAGATATCTGAACAATAGTTTCCTGTCAATTCTAAAACCAAGTAGAGCTCAAACAATAATATCTTAAAAGAAAGGATGAATAGATCCTTGTACCACTGGGAACTGGGAAGCCCTGCTTTATCCAGATATTAGGATAACCTGTGCTAATTACTTAAACAACAAGTTTGATTATTAGCAGAAATTCAAATGACCTTATCATAGAGATTACGCAATAAACAGTGATGTGATACAAGGGAGAAAGGGATGAACAAGAAGAAGCAAGACAGTGTCATAAACTGAAGGGAAATAAGTTCACTGAGGGTTTTTAAGACAAATATAAAACAAAACTAATCAAACTAAACAACCAACTAATCATAATCAAATATTGGAAAGAGCTGCTGTATTTTGTAGTTGGAAGCAAGAATTATAGCCCAACATGTATGTCAAGGTGTACTTATAATGAGAAAAGAGCATACCAGAACTATTAAAGGTTCTGTTGCTGCAACAGCATCGCCCCCCTCTACCTCATATATGTCTCGAACACCACGACTATCACAAATATACACAATTACGCCTTTGTCCAGCCTAAAACATAAAGAACAGGTATATATGAGATACACATATGATGTGATATTTATCTATTAATCTTCAAGATAACAAGATTGCCAGAGTCAACAATTGTCTAGATCTAGATATACTCGAAAGTCAAGGGGCATAAACAATTAATACCGTTAGCTTCAACTTTTCATGAGTCGAATTTGTGTAACCTTTTGTGAGACTCTTCACAGGTATGGTCAGATTATAATGTTCTGTTTATTATTACATGAGATTATTATTAAGGCATCCCCTTTTAAATTGGTAAAAGTTATAAATTCGATTAAAAAAGGACTTCGGTTTGTCTTCTTTATTCTTCAATTATCTCCTCCGAGGGTAAAAGTGCAATGCATCATATTGACCGTTAGCATTTTACTACTACAAAAAAAATCAATTGACTCTTGATTTTTTTTCTTCTTTGATTTAGCTTATTACACATTATCACCTTGATCACATAATTATTATTACCACCTCTTAAAAATGAGGTTGATTATCTCTTCGAGAGTGCGTGCTAGGTTAAAAAGATGACCAACAAGGAAAAGCTATGGATCAGCTTGGCAAATCAAACTACAAGGTGGACATAGTCAAGCTAAAATTAACTACTAAGAAGGTCATTTGAATGCCACAAAATCCTGAATGTTTGAAGGGTCTACGTGACACTTAGCAGTTGAATAAATATAGAAAACATGATTACTGTTTAGGTTGAGGAAACCAAACGATATCTACCCATGAACTAGCGCATTCAATAGAAGTTAGTAAACCTGTAAAGAAGCTTACCAGATCTTTGCAATCTCAATTCCTTCTGGAAATAGACCACCACTGCATCAAATAATGGAAAATAAAGTCACTATACAAGTGAATGTAAAACAAACTCGTATTACTTCAGTAGTGATCACCTGTTATTTCTAAGGTCCAAAACGAAGGATTTCACATTGTTGTTTCTTAATTTCTGGATAGCATCCTTGACCGCCCCTACAAGCAAATGAGAAAAGTGCATTTCAAGTTAAAGTGCAGAACAAATATAAATAAATAACTATTATATTACCAAGTTGCATTTGTCTATTATGTGCCTTTAAAATGAAACGTCAGAATTTGGCAAAAACAGGCTAGACATAGATCAAAAAGTCGGTTGTACTCACTGACTTTGTAAATAATAAAATAAAAAAGCTCTGTTACCAGTAAATGGGATAGGGGTTGTTTATTAATAGGCAATCACATTGTTACCTGTCACCAACTATTTTAGGTCCACCATGGTTAGGCCCACCAATGTAATTACACGGATGAAAACGGCAATAAACCATATCACACGGTATTAAACGCTACAAGGGGGAAGGAAGGGCTCAAACATATAATGCCATATTTTCATCTTCAGCATATAACTTGCAACAACAACAGCAGCAACAACAAAGATTTTATCCCAAAATTTTGGACGCATATAACATGTATATAATAATAACAAAGTTCATTTTAAAAACAAGTGATTTAAGCAATGACCACTGAAAACTAAAACCCTTCAACAGTTTGATGTCAACTCTCTAGAAATTGTCGTAGCAGGCAATGCTATCAACTTCAGCGAGACCATCCGTTAAGGAGGAGGGCCTTGCTCAATCAGGCTACCAACCATTTCCTTTTTTTCTTTTTTTTAATGAAAGGAGGCTTCCAACCATTTTCTTCATTTTGTTTGATGATTGTGTTGCTTTCCTCACTTTTGTGTATAATTTAAAGCAAAGAACTTATACCAATAACATTTTTTTTTCTTTTAGACGTCAGAAAACATTGTATCTCATGATTTGTAGTTCCATGAAAAGTCTAACTTTGTTAGAATGACCATCCGACACTAGTATGATAAAGTTATAATGTTTATATATTACCCAAATTTAGTCTTCAAATTGCAGTCAATTAACTGAATCGTGTTGCACTGCCTCCTTCACATATCTCCTGAGGATACATAACCTTGTTCTTCACAAGGCCTCGTTCTTTACATTTGCTAGCGAATCATTAACCTATATTAATTGAACAATGATCTCTAATAATGCATGTTATTCAAGAAAACCTAATGCATTGACATCTAAATCTAAAACTGTAAAGGCTTTCTGATGCGGAGCAACTGAAAAACATTCTTACTGGAATATTATTATCTCTTGTTGGAGTCCATGGGCTCTTCCAAATTACCCCCTTTATTATATGTTAAACAGGAAATATATTTTCTTATAAAAATGTCCTTTCCTGTTGTTGTCTTAACTCTTAAGTATGAATGCCTAGGAATATGACTAGATGATTGCGTGAAACCATGAATCATCAATGTAAGTTACAACAATTCCAGGTGAAGGAAAATTGTGAAAAAAAATCATATCCCCCAGTCAAATCAATGGCATTTCCAAAAATCAGAACTAAATGCATAACACTCCACCACCAAACCACCACCCATAAAAAACCCATATCAAGGGGACAACGCTGTTTTGACCATTAAAGAAGTTGTCAAAGTTTACATGAACCATAGTCTAGATGGAAAACAACTAATTCAACCTGAACTGAGAGTAATACCACATAGCCATACTAACCTGACGCATTTTGGTTAAATGTTGTTAATTTGATGTACCCGATTTTGGTGCTGTTGTTTCCAGAGCCTGTGATCTCACATAACCTTGAGTTCACAGGGTTCAGTGTAACTTTTTCTCGCCTGGCAACAATTATCAAGATAACAGTTTTATGATGTGAAGATAGATATCAAAAGGCCTGGAATTAGAAAATTCATAACTACCTATTAGAAAGAAAAGCACTCCTCTAAAACCTATGAAACTCCAGCAAAACAGATCAATGCCATAAAATAAAACTTTTAACAGGTGGAAGAAAATACTAACGTCAAAACCATGTGCTTGACATCGGACCCACTTTGAATATCTAATTTTACTGTAGTTCCTTCAGGTCCCCTGAAAGCAATTCAAGGATTAATATGAAAAAGAGTAGCAACTTGCTGATGAAATACAAAGTATTAACAGATATATTTACACTTAGTCTTGGTTCCAGAATGCATGAGAAATATGAAATACATGTGCCACTTAAAGCATAAGATTGTCACAGCTTAAAAGATGAGAACAATGAGAAGCCAGCTAACAGTAGTACATAATAGACAGAAAAATCATGGGATTCTTGGAGCTTAGCAGGCATGCAAGCAAGACTAGCATATTACTTAAGCATCCCAAGCAAGTACTCCTGAATAAATACAATATGCAAATTCTGTGCAAGGAGTCGCCTCATAGGGAATACTGAATCATATTATTTTCAATTCAAGAAAAATTACTGATTCTTTAAGAACACCTAAGTTGTCCATATTTATGCCAAGTTTGTATGTAGAGATAGATGGAGAGGAGGAATTGTCAGAGACATACTACAGGGCTCTGTCATCCAGCAACAAGTTTCAAGAATGCAATAATCAACAGCCATTAGAGATCACATATTAAGGAAAAAAATTTCAACAGATATGTTAGAAACTACGTGTTGCAAGTTGGGTCACGTCAACTACAACAAATAACTATTTTTATATAATAATTGGGTATCAATGAAAAAATAATTAACAGAAATATGTGAAATGAAAATGTGTGCACAAACTGGTAAGTAGAAGTCTCACTGTAAACGTTCTGCTGCATCATAGATATCCATGTCTTCGGTACTTGTATCATCAATTGCTAAAATGACATCTCTAGGTAGAATGCCGGCCTTGTTTGCAGGACCGCCTGGAGATGATGAGATCACAACAAGCCCTGTAGATGATTCAAGCGCTGTTGGATACCCAATTGACAAGCCTACACCTGTAAGGGCACCTTGCGTGCCGGACTTCCTTCAAACAAAGCAATGACAGTTTCAAAATGAAGCTCTCAAAGAAAACCATGAAGGTTTTCAACATGAAACTGACAAGAATCAAATATATGATTAAAAAACTAGATTTCTCGGGCACCTTATATCATATGGGTAGAAGAGTAAGAGTCATACCCGCAGACTCTTGAATTTCTCTGGTTCTAGAAAGCGGGTGAAAGGATCATCCAGTGTCGAAAGCATTTTTCTTATTGCCATGTCTGATAAGTGATAAGAAAGAAGTCAACTTAACCAAAAACTGAACGAAATGCAGATCTGATGCAAGTGATCATTAAATACTATATATAGTTTGAACCTTACTTCTTCCTAATGTATCATACGTTATTCAGCAAATCAAGATCAACAATATATCAACACTATTAACAATTGATGGTCCATACGTCATGCCCTAATTTCTTACCTAATTTCTTACTGTAGACAGCCACCTGTTTCAATCAATCGTATCTCAAGAAAGACGAGGAATGACTTTATACTAATATTAACTTTCAAAACCTTCCTTCTTGTGATATTTAATTCACATTCATCAGCTAGGGCATTTTCTCTAGCAATTCACATACACCTTGTTATCCATGCGTCAATTGTTTCACTTTTTTGACCAATAGACATCTCTGACAAACTTTGTATATGTCTAAAATACACTGCAAATCCTAGGATATGCCAAAAGAAACATCTAATATGCATCCACAAGTACAAGAGAATCCAAGTGCCAATATGTAGCAGAGAAGCTCCTTATCAGTACTCTTGCTCTGTCCCACCCAACATTATGCAAGAACTAACAGTCTAACACAACAACAGCTATTTTTCAATTTCTCACAAGCACTTCGATCCAGACATATATCCCTCTATTTAGACATTATGGAACAAAGTTCCGAGCCATACATGTTTCTTCCCGAGTATTCATTGGTTCATTCCGGAGAGCCTCTTCTCGATATCGGAACCAACTCTTTCCATTGAAAGTTTTATCAAAATAAGCACGATCCACAGTCCTCCACGCCTCTAAGAAAAGGAGATTTTCTTCTGTCAATGCCCCTGCAAGTAGATAATTTACCACAAATTATGTAATAGATTGGGAATTTATCAAAAGGATATCCCATAATTAGAAAATTCAAAAGAAAACACCCAATTAAACTTATACTTACATGATGGCGTCGTGCTGATAGTTAAAGAAACTGACATGATGATTATCATACCCACCACTAAACGTACAAAACCAATGCGGACAACTTGCCTCAGTTTCTCTGGCCAACATTTTGATTTGATATTTATACCAAATCCCACTAAGTTCTGTCTTCCATAGAAAAATAGTAATGAAAAATATCGAGATGATACACAGTGAAACTTCCACGATGGCTGAAACAGAAAGCTGCGAGCTAAAACTAGGCCAGAATTCTTAACAGGTCTGTTGTATCTTATTTTACCAGTGGCGTTGCTTAAGGAACACTGTAAAGGACTTCCACAAAGGCCCAGAACTGTTTTGGAGAAATTGTGAGAGCTCCATATGACCTGAGGAAGAGATCCGTTACATCTGATGGGCTGAAAATGTAGCAGTTATGTGAAATGATCCTATCTTAGAATACTAAATCGGCAAAAAGATGTTATATGGAACTTCAATTTCAATCAGTAATAAATTACATAGAGCATATCACACGCTACTAGAATCTTTCCTACAGTGGGTTCAGTGACAATGGATACGAGAACCAAATGCTTGAAACAACAACAACAACACGCTGTCTAGTACACAGGAAAATAGTGGTTCCTATGATGGCAGGATAGCAAAAGACACATGCATGATAAATGTTTGCTTCTCAAATCCTTGCGGTTGATAACGCCATGGACTCAAATTCTTCTCTTCTTCCTTTTCCCTTTTCCTCCAGAAAAGGGGCAGTAAGACATGCATGTTATTTTTTGTAGAAATAGGATCAAGAATAGTTAGACTAGAAACTCATATCTTAATCCCATACATATATCTAACAAAAAGCACCAAAAATGTAGAAGATTGCTAAGTGTGGTCTGAATTTAGAGCAGGATCGACAGCTCCTTAATCGTGTGGTTACATCCTCCAAACCGAAATTTGATGGCAGACCGCCCATTCATTGGTCAAAATGCGAAGCTAAAAGTGATCTAAATACCATAAGATAGCGAAAGTAACTTCAAAAGATAACAGAGCTCGACCCATTTCAATTGGATTGATTTGCAAGAGAACCCACGATTCAAAATTCGATCTTGGAAAGCAAATAACCCAAAGAATTGGGCGTTGTGTACCTGAGAACTCTGGAGAGGTCTTTTGCCGGGGGGAGAGAGGTGGGCTTTTAGGGTTCGAGAATTGGAGCTCGACGATGCCACGAGAAGGGATGAAGAAGCAACGGCCTCCATTCGTTTGAAGGGGGGGTCTTGTTTGAATTCGAGGTCTCCCTCTGCTCTTATCGCTCCTTTTGATGCCTGTTGAGCTCCGAACCCCTGCTGGCCGTGATACAGAGGACAGCCTTTTTTGGGTCATCATTTATTTGGCTTTTTTTAACTCAAAACCCAAAGTTTTAATTACGTTTATTTCTAAACCCACCTTCTCCCAAAATCGCCCCTTTGTTCTAGAACGTTAGGGGTTAAGAAAAGAGTCAATTGCACATAGACCCCTTCTAATATTTGCTGTTTTAAGCTCACTAGCCAAGTGGCTTCGTTGTTGCAGATAGACCCCATGGACTTTTTTTTAATACTTTTTATCCTCAGACGGACTCCGCTAATTTCACCCATCGGTAAAATATTTCAAATTTTCACCGATGGTAAAAGAGCAAAAAATAAGAACGACCCGGGAGGTCTAAATGCAACAATGAAACTATAGGAATAACATGTTCAAAACAACGTAGTAACTACAGCGGTCAAATGTGTACTTGATGAACCCCCAAACATAGACTAGAGGAAAACGTCGTCATAACCGGAGCTCGTAGTAATGTTTCAGGTCGTCATAACCGGAGCTCCGTTGTGTTTCAGGTTGGTCGCTGGGGTTGAGGATATACTGCTAGCATCGCTGTGTTTCAGGTTGGTCGCTGGGGTTGAGGATATACTGCTAGCATCGCCCTTAACGGTGATCTAAAGGCGATCGACGAAGAGGAATGATAGCTCTATAAAAATCGCTGCACTCAACAAGCTCAGCTTATCCAGGAGCAGTGAATTCGAATTTACCGGTTGCGAGACAAAACATCACGTAAACAAAGGGGATGCCAACATCATAAACGTCAATCAAAACTCAGCTATTAGAAGGAAAACAAGGGATTCTAGAAGCCAAAATTTTAATCAAAGCCAAGCTTTCGACATATATACCGAGCGCCCTTTGCTAAACTT